AACAATGCGTAATCGTACGTATATATGTTTCAATGGTTTTTTTCTCTCATCACTAATTTCACACTGCATGTTTGGACGCATGCCTCTGTCTTAGGACAGACTGGGCATATAGGATGGACAGAGTTTATGGAGAGTGAAGGTGTGCATTTGGGTAAAACCTTTCTTAGAACCCAATTTTGGTTAGTTCTTTGACTCCATTCGTGCTTTCAATCGTATCAGGATTTGCCTAATCAAAAGGTTGACACGTTCCGATTAATAAAGTCATTTAGAGCTCGCGTATTTCGGCAGAAGCCTATTTACGAGGCGTTTTTCGCAACTTAGCCATCACCAGGCGATTGAAATTGTTTTTTTTTCCGGTTTTCCCTTAGCAGTCCACAAACCAGATCACATTTGCACCACAAACTTTTTCGTACTCCTTCGATGAAATTATCGATTCATCTTTACTTTTACCGAAATTTGCTTTTGCTCATTGTGATGCTCGAACCATAAAATTAATGATATGTAGCTGTTCACTTGAATGTACAATTTATCAAGAGCAACAAAATGCATGTCAATTCAATATGACTTAGAACAAAGCACGACCACGGTGCTCTCAGCGTAATCCATCTTCAATGGCCATATTTCGCAACATTTTCACATTCTTCCACAACTAAACTAGATTTTGAAAAAGATCATGGATTACACTAAGGCTCTGTAGTGTAGCGATGCTCTTCCCGAAATATGACACAAAACATGGATGCGTAGAAGCTTACTTGGCAAACACCATAAAGAAAAGCCCGTAAAGTTGAATTCAACAAAATAGACAAACTGCAGCACGAGATCATTGGATGATATTACTTCTTAAAGAACAAATAGCACAGAGATCAAGCCTATGAATTGCCATATGCATAGCGACAAAGAGCAATCAATTGTCGAAGGATGTTGCTCGAAATGAATTATTAAAACGCTCTATAAATGATGCAGACATGCCGATGCACCGTACTTGAAACTGCTGTCGATTTTGACTCTTTCCTCGTCTTCTAAAATAAAATTTGTATACTGTACTATACTTTGAAGTAAAAAGTTGAAAACTGACCCATGCGGTCGTTTGATGCTTTCAATACGAGAAAAGTCGTGTTCTACAGCTTCGTGACCACGATCGCCATGTGGAGATGCTTCACAGTATGGGAACACCTAAGATCTTCTTATTTTATTCGACTTTCTATGATTTCCGGATATACACAGCAAATTAGGCTCAGTCACTATATCCTATTTGGAAAAGGTAGCAAACCATGCATAACGAAAGGTCTTTCGAAGTTTTTTATCACATAATTTTCATTCTCGATTGAGCCACCCAATATTTCAAGAATATACCGATTTAGCTTGCATTCGGCTCAAGCAAAAAGCGAACTGAGAAAATTTTTCAAAGGCCGCGAAAATCAAAAATTCGAATGGGTGGCTCAACGATGAAAATTTTCAAGTGCACGGCGTCAAAACAGTCGAGTCACATAAGTCTGATAACTCACATGAGTTTTTGCGAAGTCTAGAGGTTTTGGGACGCCCTTGCATGACAAAGAATATCAGAAATACATTTCAAAATGACAAATACTCACAAGTAAATTACTACTTCCTCGCTCAAGCGACAAGCGGAGCTGTTCGTTGCGCCATGACTCGCCGAATGGTAGCCATTGTTCCTCGGCTGAATTCCTTAACAGCGAATCATTCCTTAAGTAAAGGAAGATGACCATTCGCTGTTCATTCGTTCTAAAGTCCTGCCAGAACTATATAAAAGTATTGAAGCCGCTTACCTAGGTGTGACCTTGACTTCCTTGGTCTCATCCTCACTTTCTGAGTCAAGAATACTAGTGCAAGCCGGAGCTGTGTGAATAACTGAGGTGCGAACAACTCCTTCGCCCATTTCGCTCAGGACGTCACGATAATAGGTTGCTTCCATAGAATATTGGATTGCCTAAATTACAAACTTCAAGTCCAAGTTTTAAAGGTAAAGTATTTTCTGTTTTTGTA